TAAATGATATTATTAAGTGACGCGAACGCACGATTCAAAAAGTAAGCAGGAAATTTGTAGAAAATTTTCATAATAGGCCAATTTCACGCATTTGTAGTTTCAATTAGAATTACTCTTGCTAATATAAGCTAGGCTTATATACGCTGGGAATAGGCAAAAAAAATCTTCTTGAAATGTCATTCGCTGACTTGCAGTAATTAAGAAAATTCTGAACATAGTAAAATGTTCGACATTTTTGTGAGGATGTTTTTTTGGATTAGGCTATGCAATTGAAATTTGCAACGTTTTATATAATAACTCTTGGGTAAACATATTTTTAAGAATAGCCTTACGAGATAAAGAGATAGATAGATAGATAGATAGATAGATAGAGAGAGATAAATAGAGAGAGAGAGAGAGAGAGAGAGAGAGAGAGAGAATACATGGTGAGCCGAAAGAGATACAAAATTCAAATTGCCAATTTTTTTCTTGAAAATTAATTTAACGTTGACAACAGTGCAAGCGGTACGTGTGCACAACAATTTGCCAAAGATTTGTCACTGTTAATTGGCCCACAAAACATAAAATCCACGCTTAAAATTTATTTCTGGCCATTTCGTTCTGAAGTGACATGTGAACAGTCATTATAAAAAGCAATCATAAAAAAATATACGAACATTTTGAAGCAATAAAAAACCATATAAAAATATATATGCACAACAGAGTGTATATTGCGTTTTGTGGTGAATTCGTCAGACTTAGTTTATTTTTATTATATAAACGCGTATAAACGCGTGTTTTGTTTATATATATTTTTTCCAACCGGCTTTTTTTATGAGATGAAAACGAAAGAAAAAACACACACAAACCGTGTATGCACATTCAAAAGTTTAAGATTCATCATACGAATACGATATTGAAATGTTTGACGAGCCAAGCGAATATTTCCAACCAAATACACGCATTACGACCTGCGTTAAGTATTTGTGCAATAAATTTAAGCTTGAATAGAAAAGGCATTTAATGCGAATGGCAAGGAGAGCACAAGAGCGAAAGCAATAGGCACCCGCATAGTTATATGTGCAAGCAAACATAAGAACGGCTAAAATCAGCAAGGAGCTCACAAAATTTATCGCCTGAAAATTCATCAAAATTGAAACCGTGATAAAAGACAAAAGAGGAAATTATGCACGAAAACAACAAAAAAATATATATACATACCATAAAGCATAATGTCTGAATCAATTTGAATGACAACGCGCATAATGAATCGGTTTTTATTTATGCAGTGAATGTAAAAAAACCGTATCGCTTTGGTTTTTATTCGGTTTGTTTGTTTAGTGGACGATGAAAATGAGGAAATAGACAAGGAAACAAATCTCAATGTAATGAAAGAAGGCTAAGAAGGCATCGCTTCATCTAGCTTTCTGATTTTATGTGGGTTTTTTTTCTTCTCTGCAAAGTACAAAAAGCTATGATATTTGACGTGGTGCTGTCAAGATGTTTGCAACCCACCCGAATGACATTTATCCTGTGCTCTCATTTAAATGACAAAACCAACTTGCCTAATGAGACATTCGGTTTCTGTACATCGATCCGAAATGCACGAACAGTCGATGAAGAAACTTTTGGTCGATCTGGTTGAGCAGAACATTTTTCTTGAATAAGAATTTATTTCGAACGTGGCTAAACGCATATCTATTGTGATGATTTTACGATTGCGGCAAGTGTATTTTTCAACTCGGCACATTTCGCTCATCTTACGTTGCGCGCAAGTGTCTGTTTATTGTACACTTTAATTATTTATTCAGCATTTTTATTTCATACGAAAAACCCAAGGCACGTAAAATGAAAAGCCTTTTGTGTTTTTTTCCGGCTCTCGCACGGATCGTTTTTGCATTTGCTCTCGACGAAACATTTTTTTTGTGCGGCTGATTGACTTAAAATAAGTTTACTGGTGCTAATTTGGTATCGGTGGCGTGCGTAATTGTTTGTTTGTTCGTTCATTGGCATTATCGTCTTTATGAATGAATTCCAGGCTATGTTTATTTATTTTTCCACTAAAATCATGTAATATTTCATACAATTTTTTACGAGCTTTCAGCGCGCGCGCGCGTGCCTTTTCTCTATCTTTCTCTTGGCATCAGATGAGAACAAATGAGCTTACACAAATTATAGATTGTGCGCGACCGTTGCGATGATACCCTAATATATGCACACACAAAAAAATGCAAGCACACACAAGACCTCTTGCATGCCATTCGAATGAACCGAAAAAAAAATTCTCATAAAAATAATGATTAATGCCAAATAGGTTGGAATTCGGATTTCGATAGAATTTTCAGCGGTGATTTTACGCTGTGCGCCTTCATCGCTGCAAATTGACGGCATTAATGACGACAAGGAAATCCATCAAAAAAAAGAACACATACATAACACTATAAAAGTGAAAGTATAATGAACAGTGTGTGTGTGTGTGTGGATCTATAAATTCGTTTTTGCCTCTCATTTTGTTGCCATTTTTCTCTGTCTCGTTCAATATGAACATTTTCATGAAATGAACACATTTTCGCTGGTACCATCAATTTTATTTTGCTGACCAGAAAATGTGAGCTCAACTTATTTGCATTGATATTTTTATTAACGTCACATTTTGCTCGGCTTTTATTTGATGGAATAAAAAAAACCATAAGATTTTCATATGTTGGCAATCTATTCACTTGTCCAAGTGATTTTTTTTTATTAATACAAACCAAACTTTATAAATGAGACCAAATAAAATGAACATTTTTTATTATAGAGGCGTGCACAATTCGTTTTTTAATAATTACATTTGATGTGGCGAAATGCGTCAGCATATTTTTGACTTTGAACTTGTTAAAGGATCTTCGATAAATGATGCGACCGATACACAGAAATACATGAGAGGAATGCTGTTTATTAAAGCGTTCATTTTAAAAAACGGTTAGAACATTAAGTAAAATATGCTCTGGGATTTATTTGCAAACAAAATTCCTGTTCATCAAATCATTAAGCGTGCGCATCGAAGAGGAGAGAAAAAAAGTGGAAATGAGAAACGATTTAGTACTTGGTACATTGGTTTTAAATTTCCGATTTGATAACTCGTCAATTTCAGTTTCTTTATCCATTCGTCGACATGTGTCAATGTTTTACATATTTTCAGCCAAAAAACATGACATTCCATTCGAATAATTCACAGCGTAAAACGGTAAAGATCATTCATTAATGTATCATTCGTATCTAAATGGATGGAAATATGCGTTAACCATTTAAAATTTCCGCTTCAGATGTTTGTATGTGCGCTGGCGGCAAACAAACCAGTTACATTATGTTATGACAAATAATCAAATAATTTATCTTCTGCTCTGTGATGGTATGAAAAGTTGACGAACACAACAACATTATGAAAGATAAAACTGAATCCAGGCGATTTTTCACTATATCACACACACATTCAGTTCTTCAAACTAATGCCAATCAATTTTTGTTATCTTATCACAACACAAAAATATTGTCAGCAAATTTACTGCGAAAGTAAAACTACGAGTGGTTGGGTGCGCAAAGCTCTACTTTGAGTTTGTTTAAGCGTTTGCGAGACAGAAAGAGAATGAAATCTCAGGAAGAAGAAAAATCGAAAAAGGGAAAAACTCACAGCAATGATTCATGTAGCAACAGAGACGTGCTCAATGTTCGGCTAAGCCACCCCGAATGACACCAACTTTTGACAACATGCCTTGTGCCACAACTTTCAAAAGCAATTGATACAGTTTTTTTCACATCGAATGATTGATTCTTTCTAATCATTCTTGTTGCGAAAAAATCAGGCGTACAATGTTTGTTGACATACTCTTTTTTTCGCATGCAAAGTTGATTTGTTTAATTTTTATTCACTTGATCATTGTAGATGTTGTTTTTTTCGATCAGATTTTGCAGAGTCAATGTAAATCTGGCATAATATTTGCGCTGTTGTTGAGATGAACGATGCAAAACGACACGAATGACGTCGACATGACATATATTTACGCTATTCACTCAACATTTCCCGTACATTTACAGACGTGTCAATCATTAACATCAAATGCTTTTGCAGTAACAACAATTTCAATCCACACCAAATGTAATGAAACGAAAACATCACTTTATTCATCGTTTCATAGAATCAAATGTCCCAAGTGGACTATTCACCAAAAATGCGAATTTTAGCTGCATATTGAACAACCACTCAATGCCGGTGTGTTGACGACGTAACAAAGGCCTCGTGTACAGTAGTGTCGATAAATAAGAAATTAATTATCGATTGTGAAGAGAGAGAGAGAGAGAGAGAGAGAGAGAGAAAGGGGGGGAAGGGCAAAAAGGGGAAGAAAAAAAGTCTCCAATAAGCACATTGCTTAAGTGTCACCAATAAACGGATAACACAAATCAAATGGACCGTTTGTGATACTGTTTGTGTTCACCGTGAGACATTCGAAATGAGTTTTAAGGGGGCGACTTTGTATGCACACTCAAGTGAATTCTAAATAAATGTTCTTTTCTTTAGCTTTTTCTCTCTCTCTCATGCCCATTTTTTTTCTCTGATGAAATCACTTGTATTATTGTTGAAGCAACGATGCAATAATTTTGAAAGGCTTATGGTTATGATTATTGTCTCATATTGAAATTGATGGCGCTGTTAACCTGTCTCATCTCCGATCAAAATTGTCTACGCCAACACTATTTTTATTTGAATTTTACTATCCATCCTTCCAAGTGGTCAAATAATATCGAATTTATAACACACAAAAAAACAAGCGAAGCATCTTCAAACTGATGACGATTTCAAACATACAATGCGATTTGGTTGAAGAACTTGGAATGACGGCTAAATTGTATACCACATTTGCTTTTCGAATTGATTTCGTATTCTATTTTTTCTGTTTATTTCTTTGTCTTTTTCTCAACCATTTGATTCACGTGCTTATTTTTTGTGTGCTCAATCTCGTGTTTTTTTTTTCTGTTCACAGGCAAAGCGGTACCATTTGTTGAATTGACTGTGGCGCATGCAAGTGTTCTAACTATTTTGGCAATATCATTTGAACGATATTATGCGATCTGTGAGCCGTTAAAAGCTGGCTACGTTTGCACAAAAACCCGAGCGCTGATGATATGTCTAGCTGCATGGGCGGTTGCTGCAATTTTTACAAGGTAATAAACTCTTCTTGTTCATAAAACACAAAGCGCATTTACGAATCGTGTGTGCATATTAAATAAGCTCTTGTACTATTACTCTTCTTCTTCTTCGTTTTTCTTTTTGTCTTCTGCATTTTTTAATACATTTTTTGTCTCTGTCCTTCAAGCTCAAATCGATTTATGATTAGTTTTCTTTTGTATATACCATACTACATATTATACTCTTTTTTTGAAAAAAGGAACAAGACAAACATAGATGAAATTTTCCAAGTATTATTGTGAATGTTTTGTAGATATAGTTTTTTTCGCTGTTTTTTTTTATATTTTCTCGTCTTTTATGATTTTTTCTAAATAGAATAAATCTGTATGTATATAAAATAAACAGTAAAATAAAAATAAAAATGGTTTAGATTTTGTAGATATGAAGAACGATTCACCAATGCAAAGTGAATTTGGTTTATTTTTCACCAACACATCAGCGTAGATAAAATGGAAACCTGTAAATAATCAAACATAAAATTCAAATTATCTAAACGTTGCGTGAAACGTTCTTTTATAGTCAGAAGACAATAAAATGTATGTGATTTGATGTATAATAGAAAGACAAATATTTCCCGAGTGAAAATTGCATGCAATTTTTTGTGCGATTATTTTAAGTGAGTAGATGGGATTGTTTTAAATAATCAATGAATGAAACTTATTTTTCGCCTATCCGCTTACAATTTTCTCTTGATTTTCAATTGTTACCGTTTTTTTTGCTGTACGCCTTAAATTCAAGACTTTTTTAGTCAAAAAAGATCTGAAATCACTTTCCAGATGGGATGCTTTTCCGTGTGCGAAAAAAAGTTAATAAGTCTGTAAGTGACTTTATTTGATTATAATTCATTAATTTTCGATTCTAGTCACTTAGTCAGTCAGTTGATTATTTTGGGACATTTTGACTGTCAGGAGACTATGATTATTGTCAAGTTGACAATGTCAACCCGGGGTATCAGAGCCCCGATCCAAATGTCCGGTCGGGGAAAAATTCAGGGTCGGTCGGGATTCGGGTACTCGGATCTTTGGACTTTTCGGATATTTCGGGCGTTCGGTTGACTAAATTTACTGTCTATTTTTACAGTCAATAGTCAGTCAATTGGTCCCCTAAATCAGTCAGTCTCTTTTTCTGCACACGGGTTCTTCCAAATTTCATCAAAAAAAATTTACCAACAATTTTTCTTCATCCCAAATGAGAATGTAATTTTGCCTATAAAGATTGATTTTAATTAATTTTCCAAACCATATCTATTTAACTTTTTAGATCAATTTCTCTATTGAATATATTATGAATCGATTCAAAGTTTGATTAAATTTTATTTAAACCACCAAATTGACACACAATTTCCAATCAAATCAATCACAAACATCTTTTAATATCACACCACAAAATCAATACACATCTTTCCATATAAATTCTTCTGTTTATAATTTGAGTTTATCAATCTTACATTTTCACACATAAACACACACACATACTTTTTTTGAACCGATTGTTATCTGTTTAATTAATCTTGATTCAATTAAAGAGCCATTTGTGTTTAAAACAATAAGATGAACTGGATCTATTTAACAAATGAGCGTTTATCTTTTATGTGAGGTCAAAGGTATTATGGTGTGTCGAATAATACAAAAGAAAATAAAGGGTCGTAACACATTTAAGCCAATAAATTTAACCAACAAATCTTGGCTGAAATAACATATTGTGATTTTGAAACATATTTAAATAAATGTGATGGTGCAGATATTTAGGTAAATCTGTAAAAAAAAAGTAAACGAAGGCATTCACATCACAACGAAGCGATCTTTGGGATAATAATTATTATCCCATTGTCAACAATGTAATGTTTGAGGAATGAGAAAACATTTTAAGCTACATCTATTGAATTTAAAATACACACGCATACATTACATGATGAATAAAAGCATATGCTTGTTCAAAATGTTTTGTGTCTGCCACACTAATTGCTGTAAATATTTTGTGCAACGAATCATGTACAAATGATTGTTTAAGCGTGCGTTGAGTTGATGCACATCGACAAAATTAATGGTGTGTGTTGCCAAAACAAAAACACACGCACTCAATCTTTATCGGTGCTTTCGTTTTTTCTCTTTCAAAACAAAAACGAAACCGGTAAATGATCATCAACAACAATGCACGCGACTGCAATATATCGTGGCATTTGTCTAGTGATTTGCACCGTTTCTATGCCCATAATATAAAAACCATTCTTTAGTTTCTTACATTGTCGTTCCGAACGTCGGCTATTATTTGATTATTTTCGTGCGATTTTTCTCTTCAACATTTTTTTTTTTTTTTGGCAAAATATAAATCGGCGAAATATGCGTTGATGTGAATTATTGCGCAATTTGCACTTTTGTTTGATGTTTGTTACATTTTCGTGTCAAATATCTGTGTAGTCGGGGCGCTTGCGTTTGAAATTCGATGTCATCCGCAAAATTCGTCGAGTGTCTACCAAATTCATTTACGATTTGTTGTGTGCGATAGATTGTGCTATCTATTTCATTTTATTTGGCAGGACATTGCGGCCGCGAAAAGAAAGAGAGTGAGAACGGCAGGCGCACCATGTGAAAAATAATAATGAATGCCGTTAATCTTCTGTGCCATTTTGCCTCGATGTTTTTGTTGATGAATGGGCAACGATGAACAGAGCGCATATACAATCAAATGGCCAGACACGATTCAATCGACAAACAAACTATATGTTTACATAATTTGTGCGGTAGTCGGTCGCATTTTATAAACGGGACAGAATTTATTCAAGTATTTTAAACAACACATTTTATTTTGATAAAATTTCATATTTTGAGATGTGCCAAACGACTCGTTCATGCAATAAAAATAATGAGCAAAAAAAGAACGTCGACGAGAACAGCAATGTGAACGTCGACATCAATTTAAATGCTTTTTTCGTGAAATGAATGAACGCTGCGACCATATTTCAAAAACAAAAAAATGAGAGGAGGATTAAAATGACAGTTAATTATAATTTCTTTCCAATTATTGTCACCAGTTTTATGATGGTGAAAAAGAGAGATTTTCTTGAAACGTCTCAAAAATTACGAAGACACGAAACAGCTTGAATTTCTTGAAGCGATTCGTCTTACACTTATTTTAGTGGATCAATCAGCACAAATGTTTCTTTTGACATGTGTGCTCATCGCTTTTGAATCCTAAATACGCTCTGCATGTGTCTATGCACATACTAGCCAAGCTGTCAACATCATCAGTAAATGTTGTTCAGCATATTGCCGTTTCATGCTATATGAACATTTGTACTCTCTCTCTCTCTCTCTCTCTCTCTCTCTCTCTCTGTTTCACTTTCAATTATTTCCGGCTTTAAACTGCACTATAGCCTAAGCAACCATTTTCTAGTGTAATTTGTGTCATTCGCAATGAAGTTAAACCGTAAAACTAGCTCTAATCCGTAATTTTCTCTCGTATTTGCGACGGGCTGTTGATTAAACTTTTTCCCTATCTTCAATTTCCCGGTTTATTTTCGTATGCGATATGCATCGTATTTGGAACACATTTGTTTTAGCATTTAGCAGAAAAATACTTGTAATTTATCAAAGCACAAAAATTATTCGCCAATTTTTCCACACACTCTATCTCTTTCTCTCTCCGAGGAGTGTTGCTTATATATCTATTGTTTATTTACATATGCGTCAACTGTTCGATATTGTGTAGCGTATGATTGCTGAATATTTGGGGCACACATATTATACAGCCTCAAGCAGACCAACAAAGTCCGTGTCAGGCAAAGCGAAGAAGAAAAAAAAGAATAACAACAATAAACTCGGATCGTGATAGACATAAATCGTTGCGTTTACACACCAAAACTATGTCTCTTTTTGGGGCTAGAACGATTCTTATATTCATTACTCGTTCATTCGGTTGGACACGAAATAAAATCAAAATGCGCACACAAACTCTCTCTATGCCGCTTCTTTGATTGTTGTTGATTTTTACGACGAACTTAGGTCATATTTCATGTATCTCTCCAACTCTCTCGTGTGTTGCCCATATATATATTGCAATTCATGTGAACTTTTTCTATTTTCAATGATGAAACGTGCACACCAGCTAAAGATACACATTCTTTATTGGCACATAAAATGAATTCTTTGGCCAAAAAATTTCACAACGTAACACCAATCTGAATGGAAAAATCTATTTGAAAAAAAGAGAACCAGAATGAATAAAAAACAACAGAGAATATGGAATTTGAACGAACCGAAAAAATGATATCATTCATATAACTCTTTCGAATGAAAAGAAATGTCCAGTGGCAAGGTGACTCGAAATCGATGACGAAAAAAAAACTAACTACCCCGAAAGTGGTTCACACTTACGGCACGCTCGCGCTTGCACGGACGAACCGACGGGATTCATCGTCAAATGATAAATAGCGGCTGTTGGACAATGCATTCGACACAATATCGCACATGTGTAAAAGCGGAATGATGAAATTTATGTGAAGTATGTTTCATAATAATCGGATCAAACTTGCACCAAATATCTCGGTCGGTATAATCATTGTGCGAAAGTAAAACCATCATAAAATTCACATGGTTGAACTCACATACACATTTTTTAATTTTTTTTCGCTTAACAATATTTCTTGCACAAGATTTACTCGATCTCTCTCTCTCTATCTCTTTCTCTCGCACACACATTTTCTCTCTATTTCACTTTTTTTTCATTTCGGGGGGTTCGTTTTTCTTCAGAGCTGTGACAAAAACAATGAACACCAAAACACTCAACACAAACGATAGGGAAAGAAAAAGAGAGAGCAGGGGGTGTCGAAAGAGAATATGCAAGAAGCATATCACTAACAAATAGCTCGCGCAGAATAAAAGTGAGCAAAACGAACTGAGAAAACAACGAAATGAACAGCGAGATAAAAAAAAAAGAAAACAATTGCCAAAAAAACACACGAATTGCAAAAGTAATA